ATGAAGCAGCTCCCGCGTTTTTTCCTCCCTCCACGTGGCGAGGGGTGCGGGAGGTCAGGGCCCCGCCGCGGCGGGATGGAGCTCTGAGGGCGCCCTCGGTGCCGGAGCGCCCACGGAATTCCCGGGTGCTTTCCCCAGGGGCGGCGAAGCGAGTGGGAAGCAGCGGGGGATGTGTCAGCCGAAAGGGCAGGGGCGGGCGCCCTCGCCCGGGTACCTCGGCGGGGAGCGGTGCCAAACGGCTCCAGGCTGCTGGTGTTACTGATGTGCGCAAGGAGCGGGCTGGAGAAGCGGGACTGCAGCCGCGGGGAGCTTAAAATAACACGTAGGCAGCTCGATACCCTCGTGGTGTGTGGAGCAAAGTAGCAGCGTGAAGCGCCTCCGCGCCGACTTGGAAAGCACCGTTGTAGGGCGATAGTCTGTCCTAATATCTGTTCCGTGTTCCTCTCTTGGTTTCACAGGATAACGTGGAGAGGGCAGATGCACTTCAGTTGACAGTGGAGGAGTTTGTTGAGCGTTACGAGAAGCCGTACAAGCCCGTAGTCTTGCTGAATGCTCAGGTGGGCTGGTCTGCCCAGGAGAAGTGGACTCTGGAGCGGCTCAAACGCAAGTATAGGAACCAGAAGTTCAAGTGTGGGGAGGACAATGACGGTTATTCTGTGAAAATGAAGATGAAATACTACATAGAGTACATGGAAACCACACGCGATGACAGCCCGCTCTACATCTTTGACAGCAGTTATGGAGAGCATCCCAAGCGCAGGAAACTCCTGGAGGACTACAAAGTACCCAAATTCTTCACCGATGATCTGTTTCAGTATGCAGGGGAGAAACGAAGGCCACCTTACAGGTATAGTACAGTGACAGGAAGATAAAAGTAGATATTTTCCACCCCATTAGCTATTCCTAAATAGGTATGATTGTCTTTATATAAAACAAAATGATAGCTTTACGCCTGCTGTTTTGAAATGAGTACACATCCATAACCCAGAGGGAGGGAAGGTCAGATTTGTGTACCACAATTTCTGGTTCTGCCACCAGTGTAGCTACAAGTTTTTGGTTTTGTGCAAGTCAGTTTACCTCACTTTTTAGATTTAAAAAAAAACCCAAAACACCTAGTTACCAAAAGTCGTGGAGATGAATTTTTTGCTGTGCATGCCCTCTGGCTTTCAGATTTTAAGTACCTCAAGACTAGATCCTGGATTTTGCACCAGTGGCTTATGTACAGTGTGGAATTTTGTTTAATTATGGGTCAGTCCTTTTAAGGTAAAGATCTTAAGCTAGATTAGTATGATGTGTGGAGACTAGCTCTTAGCTCCCCTTCAGATGATTTTGAGAGAAAACAGTATTTCACATCTGTGTAGTCTCTTCAAATTTATTTTTTTTTTTAATCTGATGGAAAAGGATTGAAATTACACTTCATTCCTGAATTCCTATGCAACAACCGTGTATTTGGGTTGTTAGATACAAAAGTGATTTCTGTCCATGTTAATATAACGCTTCATAGCAGTATAAACCTAAGCTGAACCTGCCCAAGTAATTAAAGTCTTTACAGCGACTTTATAATTGTCAGAGAAGGCCTTGCCCTTTTGAGTGACACGAGGCTGTGATGTGGGTGTTTTAATTGTTTGGGCTTTTTAAAAAAAAATAGAACAAGTAATGAGCAATGGTACTCTTTTCTCTGCAGCCTCTCACGTGCGTGTAGTCCAGTTGTGCTTTTGCAGGAGTGAAGCTTGAAACTGATTCTGTTTTAAGATCACTGAGGTAGCTGGTTTTACAATGTGGTAACAGACCCTTTTATAATTCACTTCTAAGGAGAACATACAATGCAGTGATCAAACGCAAAAGCACACCAGACGTAGTCTCCAGTAGAAACTGAATATACTTACAGAACTGGGAATCATTTGTCCAAGTTATAGGTAAACTAGGTAATGTGGTTGTGACTCACTTATATTGCTCTCTTTTCCCCACACCCTCTCCACCTACAGGCACGTGCTGAGCTCCTTGCTTGTGATCTTGGTGTTCACAATTCCTGTGCTTTGTTCTGGAAAACGTGGGTTTGTTTGAGGCTGTTACCGTTTTTTTGAGAGATGAGTGATGCAAGAGAGCACACTGCTGCCTCCTGGAGTTAGGGGGTTTATCTAGGTACAGAAACGGATGAATAGTGTCCAGTAGTTCAAGAGCATAATTGAAAATCCAACAGGAAGTGGTGCTTTCTAATCATATGATCAGGATATGCACTGTACAGATTGACCTCTGGATTGAGAGGTCTGTGGTTGTGTATGGATCTTACAGCATGAACTCATGCTGTTTAGAGCATCTTTATTGGAATTGTTCCTCTTTAAAATAAAGGCAGTAGTTTTTAGAAGCCATTTACTGAAGCAGTTATTCTAGTTTGGGGGTGGAGGGGGTTTGCTTTTAAATGGAAGTTACAGATTGTGAAGTTTTTAATGGTAAACTTGATGTCTCGTGGCAAACTGGGTTATGTTCGTTGTAAATTAAACGCCTGGAGGAAAATCCTGGTAAATGACAGTGTTGCTAAATAAGGGTTTTAAAGTCTTCTGTGTGTGCAGATTCAGGTTATAGTCAGGAAAATGGTATTGAACAGCGCGTCTGTCCGTGTACCAGACACGTGTTTATGTGTTTAATTTCTTCTAACTTCTTGGTAAAAGCTTTGACTGTTCTGCTCGTGGTTTAATTAGCTTTCCAAGGCTAATAGGAATCCAAAGAGTGAATTGACAATAGAAGTGACAAACATCTGCTTAGTTACTTTTTTATGGCTGTGGCCCCTTTGTGAAGTGGGAAGACTGCAGCTTGATAACCAAACTGACAGTCCCACAACTGGTGCTAGCATATGATACTGGAGAGCCAGCTTAGTTTACACCTGCATTGGAAAGGGGAAATGGAGAGCTTGCTGACTTTTGATGTTTTCTGAACCTTTGAACTCCTCCTGCTGGGTATTGCCTGCCTGTTAGCCACACGATGGAGGCATCTTGTTGGTGCTTTAGTTTCTCCCCTCTCTGCTGCCCATTAAACAATTATTGACATTTTTTTTCTTCTTGATGCGCTTGGTATTAAGTCACCTCACTTACACTGCTTTATCTGGTATGGTAGATCTTACTGTGCTCTTACAGGGGAAATGAGCAATTGAAGGTGCTGCTGCTGTTAAACGTGTGCAGTAGATAAAGTTCTCCATTGGGAGAAATAAACCTTGCAAATGGGGAATGAGAATATACCCACCAAATCCTGAATGGTCACTGGAGAATAAGCCCCATCCAGTTAAATGTTAGAACGAAAAGCCTGTTGTAAACAAACAGAAGGCATAGAGGGAGACCAGCGTTGTGTAACGTTCCTCTGTTCTTTACTTGTATTGCCTTGTTTCTTCCTCATTGTTTATAAGTAGAGAATTTTAGAAAAACATAGGAGTAGGAGAAACCCCTGCATAGTAAGAATCCTAACACAGCTTGTTGTGACTCAATCACATTCATAAACCTTGGAATCTTTATTGAAGAACTGTTTAAAACAAAATACAGCTATGAAATATAAAAAGCTGTCTTCACTTTCTTGTCCCAGAGTCATTCCTGTCTCAATTCATATTGGATTTTAGGTTAAACGTATATTGTATGGTTTTGCTGTAGTGTGAGCCTAACAGTCTGAAGAAGGTAAACAAAGGAACTGTAACTACTTTGATTTCTAACTGTATGTGGAATTAACAGCTGTAATTTTTGGTTTAATATGAAGAAAAGACGAGGTAGCTGCTTGCTTGCTCTAAGACTAAAGTATTTTTATTTTTTTTCCCCCATGCAGATGGTTTGTGATGGGCCCACCTCGTTCTGGAACAGGAATTCATATCGATCCCTTGGGAACTAGTGCGTGGAATGCCTTAGTCCAGGGACATAAGCGTTGGTGCCTGTTCCCTACCAGCACTCCCAGAGAGCTGATCAAAGTGACGCGAGAAGAGGGTGGGAACCAGCAGGATGAGGCTATCACTTGGTTCAATGTCATCTATCCTAGGACGCAGCTCCCCACCTGGCCTCCCGAATTCAAACCCCTGGAAATCTTACAGAAACCAGGCGAGACAGTCTTTGTGCCAGGTATGTATGAGTGAGTCTCTCCAGTAAGGAAGTCTGGGAGAGGAAAGCATATTTTTTACATTAGTGTTTAGTAGAGATTAAGATAATATTTTAGCTTTCTTATGTGGCCCATCTCTTACAAAAGAAACTACTCTGAGCTGTTTCAAAAGCAATATATATTGCGAGGTGCATCTTGAGACGATTTGGTTATTTTCTGAATTCCTGAAACGCGTGTGGCCTGTAGCATAGGATTGCATGTGGTACAGGTGACAAAACAAATGGAACGTGAGTTGCAGCATCACAGGAATGTGATCCTGAACTGAATTGCAGTAATGGGAAACTGTCAAGGCATAAAACAATAGAGGTGTTTGAGTACTAGTAACTCTTAGACAAAAATGTTTGAATTTATCTACACTGTAGCAAATTCATGACTGAATTTTGTAGCCCGGGTAGTCTGACTGCATATGAATTTCTTTGCTGTGGGAAAAGAACTACTTAAAGACACTGACACCTTCCACCCACTTCTCTGTGGTTGTGCTTCATCTTGTATTTGAAATCAAAAGCTAAAGAACATCCTGATAAAGATGCTGTTGCGGGGCTGCACACTGTGTGCCCATTATAACTGGGAGGTGAGGTGACTAGTGGATTGAGAGGGTGAGTTCAGTGCCAAATTCTAACCTCTAAATCTCGCATCGTTTTTGTGCAGCATGGCCCATTGCTCCTATCCACATTGCTTGTCTCTCACGTACAGCTGACTTCGTGTTTGAAGAGTGCCTTGTGATTGTCTTGGCACTTATTAGTGACTCCTCAGTGTACCTTCTGTTAAGATTTTGTAGCTGTCAGGTTCCATTAAACTGTTTCCTTAGTCTTTTTATGAGGCTGTAAGTGGGTTGTAAGAACACCACTGTCTATTTTTATCCCATGTGGGGAAACAACTTTGCGTCTATTTTTAAATGAAAGGTTAGTCTGTAGTCATAAGAATCTTTACTAAATGAGCATGGAAAGTGCTTAACAGAGAGGGTTTCTGTGTGCTCGGGGTTACAATGGCTCTTGCCATTAAATAAGCCGTCAGTAGCCAGCGTGTTGCTGTCAAGGCAGATCTTCAGTACTGTTGGTGAGCTGGGTGAGTTGGTTAGAGTGTGGAGCAGCCTTCTGTAACAAGAATCTGAAACATGCTGGAGCAATTGCTGAAATAAGACTGAGGAGAAATGGCGTGATGGCAGACTCACCTGGGTTTGGGAGATAAGGTCCAGTTTCCACCAGTGCTGTGGAAAAAATGTTCACAGCTATACTTGAGCTTGCTTTCTACGTTGTAGCCAGAAATGCTCATTGGTGTTGTATTTACAGGTGGCTGGTGGCATGTAGTTCTCAATCTCGACACAACTATTGCCATCACACAAAACTTTGCCAGTTGTACCAACTTCCCTGTGGTGTGGCACAAGACAGTAAGAGGGAGACCCAAATTGTCACGGAAATGGTACAGGTAAGAGATTTAGTAGCTTTCTTTTCCTATTCTGTTTAAAACAAAACCTAAAAATACCCTGCTTGTTTACATGCATTGTTACTGTTCAGTGAGTAACCCTAAAATTTCAACTGTATTTAGGATCCTGAAGCAGGAGCATCCTGACTTGGCAGCCTTGGCTGATTCAGTTGACCTGCAGGAATCTACTGGTATTGCTTCTGATAGTTCTAGTGATTCTTCCAGTTCCTCAAGTTCCAGCTCCTCAGACTCTGATTCAGAGGTAATGGTTTTTACTACAGAAAGTGATCCATATCCTGCAATTATATTGTTTTTTTTCCATACCTGATCATGTGTACTCAACCTAATATTAATGTCTTATGGAAGAAATTAATAGAAAGCAACTAAACAAATCCACATGGTGGAGGAGCCTGTGGTCTAAGCAGGTTCTGTTTGCTGAAGCCTCTCTTTGTATTGCTAAATGGATTTGGTTTGCTTGATCTATATTTATATTGTTTAGAAATCTGTCACTCATTAGCTAAGACATGCTTGTGTAAAATGTCTGCAAAAAGGATGTTTTAAAAATGGGGAGGGAGGGAAAAAGATCCAAACCCAAGATCGTCAGTTATGACAAGACCTTTCTGGGCCTCTAAGTGCTTCAGAAAGCACTGTCTGCTCTCAGAAGACTAGGTCCTTCTAGAAGCCAAAATGAATGCATCAGTTATCTTGCCCCAGTCCAGCTTAGTCAGTGATGAAATCTAAGAACATACCTGCTCCTATTTTCTAAACACTTTAATTTAAGATCAATTTAATGTGTCTAATCTAAAATAGCACGTTCTTTGAGTATCGATTATTCAGGGTTGCTGAGGTAGCTCTTGTGGTGAATTCCACAGCACAAACAATTTACTAGGTTTCTCTAAATTCCTGTTTCATCTCTTCATCCTTCAGTGTGACTCTGGCTCTGAGACAGAGGGAATGATGCACCGGAGGAAAAAGAGGAGAACATGCAGCATGATGGGTAACGGTGATACAACTTCCCAGGACGACTGTGTGAGCAAAGAGCGCAGCTCCTCCAGGTGACCTGATGGCTGCTGTTGTTTTTTAAACACGGAAAAGACAATACAAGGCAGAGCTGGCAAAGTTAGGATAGGGTGATTCGTCAGGACAGAGAGACAGAGAGCAAGTTCTGGTTACAGAACGTAAAGCAGTTGGCCAGGGGTGATATCATCCCTCCATGAATTATTTTAATTGCTCCAAACTGAAAACTAAGGTTCTTGATTTTTTTTTTTTTAATGAGGTTTTTTACTTTATTTAGTAAACAGTGTTATTATTTTTCCTAGTTGTCTCTTTTAATAGAAGTAGTTTGTTGTTTTTTTTTTTAATGGGAGAGGTGAGATATTTTGACTTTGCTCTTCAGAGAGCACAAATAAATAGTAAACAGTTAAAGATGAGGAACAATCAGGCAAGACTCAGGTTCAGATGCCTTGTTACCCAAATGAAAACCTTCAAGTAGTGGTAATTTGGCCTGCTGTTTCACCTGTTAAAGGCAAAATTCATCCCAAATCCTAAATGTCTGTGTTTACCTATTAAAAAAAAAAAAAATCAAGTTTCTAGTCAGTCTGGAGGGAGGAAGCACTAATACTGCAGAACCAAGAATAGGCATTGCTTAGGGAAAAGTTGCCAAGAAAGGAAGTTCTCTGGACTTGCCAGGTTAAAACCAGTGAAACACTGGGAATCTGGGAATATACTGGAGGGAGGAACATAGAAATTCTTTGCTAAATGAAGCATTTTTCTCATGTCACAGGAGCTTACCAAAATTCTTAAGCAAACTCCTTGCAGTTTGGTCAGCTGCTACTGCTGCTTTAGCTGCCTGCCTGCGTTAGGGTGCTGTCTCGTTACTGAGCTGCTGGATACTCCAGGTTTGGCATGGATGCAAGTGCTGTGGTATGGCATGCTAAAGAAAGTGTGCAACAATAATTTACCTGAGGAAGTCCAGATTCCCAGTATCGTGCCTGACTTCCCAGTGTAGGGTACTGCCTGAAGACCTGTTTGCTGCTGTACGTGTCGCCATTTATCTTGCTGTGATAATTGCTCTCTTGTCTTCAGGAGTTGCTCGTAACTGGATACAATTGAATTAGAAGTACAGAGCATCATTAAACAGTTGGAAGAGAACTGTACTGACTGCTTATTTTGCCCTGAAGGTTTTAACAATTTGCTTTTTATGATATTGTCAAATCCCATTTCACCAACCCATGTGACTGCCGGCAGGGAATGAGCAGCAGGAGATAACAATCCTTAATGCAGACCCTGTATAGAAAAAAAAGAAATCCCGTGCATTTTTAAGTTGTTTGCACTTCACATTTTGAAATTAATACCTTAAATATTGAACATTAGCATACTGCCTAGAAGGTTTGCTTTCCAGGTCTCACTTTTCATCCTCCTCTATGATGATTGTTTCACTCTGTGAGGATGGGTGGGCTTTCTCTTCCAGCTGTGTGATGCATTAGATGATAGAAACAGTTCCAAACAGAAAATCTTACCTAGCTTGTGCAATTAACCTGCGTGCTGCGATCTTGTGTCCTGAGGGACACATATGAGGGGAAAGCTATAGTTGTTGACAGGCAGTTGTACTTTTTTTTTTGACAGGATTAGAGAATCTTGTGGAGGCCGCAGCTACCCCTGAGCCCCCGGGGGCCCCCTGCCGATCGAAGCTCCGTTAGCAGCCAGCCAGCTCTGTTCTACCCCCTCCTGCTTCTTTTTCTCACAGTCCTTAAGTTGTTGTCACTCTTCCTCGATCCAGACACCCGTCTTCATTACATGCCGTCGAAGGTTGGCTCCTCAGTAACTTCTAGCGGAACACCCCAACCCTGCGTTATTGTGCAATGCTTTGTTCCCTCCGCGCCCCGAGTGAGTGCACTAATAACCCGGCCTGGGGTCAGGACGTGCCGAGTATTTAATGGTTCACGGAACTGGCGAGGAAGGCGGCGGTCAGTTTTTAAAGAACTCTTTTTAAAACCAGCGGGGAAATCCGAAAACCTGCCTTGCGTTGACACTGTCGTATGTTTACATGTTGTCCTGTACACTTGAGGAAAGGAACACCAGCCCTTTTGGCCTGTCTGAACGTCCGGCAGATCTCGCACCAGAATTTCAGGAAGGGAAGGTGGTGTGAATGCTCCAAACACTGAAGCGACTTCAGCGGAGGTGACCACCGACCTGAAGCATCTTTTGTGGTCTTGTTCTACATGCGTACACCTAAGGTGCAACACCTTAACCAGCAACAGTCCGTTTACTTTTGCTCCATGTCTGTTCTGATGACTGGTAACAAAGATGCACTAGCACCTTGCGATAGGAGGCTCAATGGAGCAGGAGAATCCTGGAGTTTCTTGCACAGCAAAAACTGTGGGGGAGAAAAGTCAGTATATGCCAGTAGTTACAATCCTTTAGGTGCAGCAATTGACAAAGTGTGACTCTTGTGTGATAACAGCAGTTGCTGGGCTTTAAATACCAAGCGGTTGTAGAGCCGTGGGCTCAGTCGGGCCCGTGCAGTTCACACACCTAAACGGCTTTTCTTTGAGGTTATGGCTTCAGATGTTTCTGGAACTAGCGGTGCCAATTTTAAAGGACTGGGAGGGGGACGAATTGTTGTTTTACGCTTTTTAAAAATGCAATGTGTTGCTTAAGTCCGTGTAGATGCGTTTGTGTTATGCCAGGTAAAGCTCTCATCCCCAAGGGGTCTGTGGGAGCTGCTGGGTTTTTTAGCAGGGGCTTGTGCTGGTAGTGTCAGTGAAGAGGTCTGTCAGGCTGAAGGTATGCTGCAAGGAAATGATCTTCTCTCTCTGAACAGCGCAGCCAGAAGCTAGCTGGGTTGGGGTGCTTCCTTAGGTGCTCTCCTGGGACCTAGGAGATGGGTTTTAGATCTCACTTCAGCCACTTTTCTTTGGCTGAAATCTGAAAGCAGAGGTGGTGTGTGTGTAGTAAACATGCAATAATGCCCAGGCACTGGCAGTGGAATTAAAAAGCAGATTGGCAGCCTTAACTGTGGCTTTCTTACACATGTTGGGTTTGATGGCACCCAGAACACTGCTTGTCTGGGTTTTCTGATCTTTTTTATTTAACCTTGTCTCTTCCTGTTTAAACACTCTCCCTTCTTGGAGACCGGGCCGTATCCTGTCATGCAAGAGAATCCTAAATACATTTGTCAGGATCTCTGTTTCTGAATCTTCTGTGTCAGTCACTTTGTGTAGGAGTAGTGTGGTGATGGAAAAACGGAGAGAGAAGGGTTTTTGATACACTCTTCAGCTGTCTAGACTGCTGAATTTCCTGTGGTAGCCAGACGTAAGTGAGCACGCTTGTTTTATAGACTGCTGCGGAATTCTTCCGTAAGATTACTTCATTTTAAAAAAACCTTCTCAAACTCCTAGCATTTCTGGCCAAGGTTGCCTTTCCTCCTGCCTGGTCGAACAGCCTGGGAGCCTGCACAATCCATATGTCTTCTCAGGCAGAGCAGGCTGCAGCTGCTGCCTTTTGGAAGAATGCGGGGGCCTGGAGAGGCGAAGGCTCAGAAGTCTCAGCTCTGTCACAGGGGAGCCCTTCAAGAACTGTCCTCTGCCCACATTGGTGGCTTAGCAGCACATCTAAGGTGGCTTATGCTGTAGCTTGCAGTTGCATTTGGCACACACGGTTCGGTTTTGCAGTTTTAAAATCTTACACGTGCACGAAAGCCTGCCCGCTGTGCCGGGAGAGCCACGCCTGATGCACAGTGAGAAGATCCAGAGTGCGGAGTGTTCTTCCGTGCCTGTGAGCTCTTCCATGGTGTGAAATAAAGGAATTTCAGATTGAAGCCTGTGTTCATTTGACATCCCTCACAGAAAAGCAGTGCGTCTGAAACGGACCTTAGGCATCGCCGTACCAGCAATGCTGTACTGACTTCTCCACAAGGCACTTTCTGATGTGAAACAAAGGTGTAGCTGTTCAGGCTACCTGGGAATCGGGACTCCTGGCATCTCTGGTTCTTCCATTTACAGGCTCTTGCCTCAGCTGAATTGGTGAGCTTCTGTCTTTGTTTCAGTAGATGAGGAAAATACCTACCTCACAGGGGTGTTGTGAGGCTGAAATGTAATTACTGTGTAAGATGCTTTGAAGTCATCCTCCCACAAAAAGTGTTCCAGACGTCCTAAGCAACCTGAGACTTCCTAACCTGGTGTTAGTTTTTTGTAGCAGAAAACATTGGGGATGTTGTTCAGCACTCTTGGCCACGTGGTGTCCTGTGGTGGCCCTTCCAGAATTGCTGTGTGGTACATAAACTGTAGCAGAACAAGGCTTTTTGTTTTCACCAGTTTAACTGTTGGCGTTTCATGGCCTGCTCTAAACAGGAGGTCCTGCTAGATCGGGATTTTATTTTAAAATAGGACTAGAATAAATTCTGTCTCATAGGGAGTCAGCTTCACTGGCCTTGCAGGAAGGAGGGGAGCTGGTGCTTCCCAGGCCCTTGTTCCAGGCCAGGTGAAGGAGGAATAAAGTTAAAAACTGTGCTCCCCTTGTGCCTAGCTCCATGCTTGTGGGAGGCTGACTGGGGAGAGTGGGTTTTGTGCTCTCACTTCTCCAGGCTTATGCTTCTTGGGGCATCCATGTCTTTTATTCTGACCCCTACTGCTTTTGTGTACTGTAGAGCCCCTGGATGTAGCAGGCTCCTGTGGTCCAGCACCCAGACCTGATGGGCCCCCTGTTTCCTTGCGCCCCAAAGCAGCAGCGCTGCTCTGCCCTCGCCCCCACCTGCTCCCCAGGGCCAGGCTTGGAGAGCCGCCTGCGGGGTTTGGACCGTGGGCTTCCCAATGGTACTGTCATTGTGCTGCCTGCTCTGGCGAAAGGTGGAGGGATTTGTGAGCTCTGGCTGTGCTTTTGGGTCTGGTAACCAGTACAGGCTTGTCTGCTGTGACAGTGCAGGAATAAAGGAATAAATACCCTGTCAGAGCTGTGGATGTGGACAATGGGCATGCCGATCTTGGCACCTGTTCTCTGCACAAGTGCTGTGGGAGCAGGTGATGCCGAGGAAGCCCTGGCATATCTTCCTCCCTTTTCCAGCGCGGGGTACACTGGCTCCAGTTTGTCATCTTGGTTACATTAAGCCTCTCCAAATGCTTAGGAGAAAGACAGCAACCTCTTTCATAATTAACCTAGACCCTTTTCCTCCCCAAACCCCCAGCCATCGTGGGGCAGGAAGCAGGACTGTCGACTGAATCAAATCTGAAATGCCAATGTGGGCTAATGGTAATGGGAGGGATTTGGCATCCCCCTTGCAAAGCGGGGAAGGAAAGAGCTTGGTGATTCACTGGACAGTCACACTGTCAGCTCCAAACCCTGCCACTGCTGTTAGCTGCTTTTATCACCCCGTCCAGCAGAGCTGGGATACTGTTAATTGTCTTGTTTGGATGATTGTGGTTTTGCTTTTTATTTTAAATAAAATCAATTATTTTGCATTATCCTGTTGGCTAGTCACTTTTTTTTTTCCCATACCAGCATCTGAAAAAAACTACATGTGTAGTAGTTCTGTGTGCCAGGGTACCGCAGTGTGCTCCATGGTGTTCAGGTAGTAGCTATGGGGGTGCTTTGGGGACTTCCTGTAGCTCGTTCTCACGTGTGATCAGTACATCTGCATGCTGGGGTGTGTTTTGGAAGCTGCTGTAGTGGCTTTGGGAGAAGTTTGTGTCAGTAGCTTTGTTACCAGACTGCAGTGTGTGCTTTTGCCCCTTCCCTGCCCCCCCTGGGCTGTATTACGAGAAGCCGTGTGTCGTATTTCTCTTGCCACCTCATACTGGTGAGACGGGGTTTTGTCTTCCAGGTGTCACATACTGCTTTTGGCTTTGCTTCTAGGTAGGAGGCACAGTGTGGAGGGGCTGCTCCGAGCAGAGCTGACAGACCTTCCCCCCTGCACCTGGGGGTTCAGGGAGGGAGCCCCCTCCGAGGGCACACCCGCGGGTCTGAAGCTGCCTCTTAAAGAATTTGGCTGTGTTGTGGAACAAGGATTGGGAAAGTGGAAAAACTTGTGCATTTTTGCTGAAACCAGTAACTGTGGGTAAATAAGCTGGAGCAGAGTGTGGGACAGCAGCCTGGAGGCTTTTGGAATATTTATGTGAATATATTATAGAGGGAAACACCTTGAAGGGTGAATGGTTTATGGAGACAGCAGGTTTGCCGATTTTGGCATAAACCTGCATCCTTCCTTTCCCAAACACTGATGTAAACACTTTCCTTGATTACTGTTACCTATAAAACGAATTTTTTTCCTCCTTTCCAATTGCTTTTCAGAAGATCTCTCCCTGTGCCCTGTTCACATCCTCTGCCAGATGCTGCCTAGCTCGATGCACCCAGGCACTCACAGTTAGCCCCTGCTCTCCATGTGGGCACTCCGGGCGCATCGGTGCTTGGCATTTAACAAGACCCAGTTCCAGAAAGTGGTTTGAATTTTGGTGGCTGAAAGCAATGCAGAGCCATTGTAGAAATGCTTTTGTAGCACATCTCCTGCTTTTCGTTCCAAGAAGGGCAATTTTGTGTGCTCCCAGCTTTAAGATAATCCCGTTCTTCCTGATACGCAGGTACTGCTGATACTTCCCTCAGTGCCTCTCTGGCCTTGCAATCTGGACTTGATTTATTTTTATTCCTCCAAGTTATCTACCTATCTTCCTTTTTGTGACAATTGCAACCTAGTAACTCATTTCAACAAGGAGGAAGGCATAGTGATATTTTTTTTAATTACTACCAGAAAGCCAACAGGACAAGGTTACCTGAGTGGGAATGCAGCAGCAGTCTGTGCTGCTGATGTTCTTGCTCCTTTCCTCCAGTTTGATGTAAAAACAAATAACAACTGGTATGTCTTTTGTGGCAGTTAGAAAACAAGTCACAAAGAGAACTGGGCTGGCTGCAGTCCTGCTTGAGTGTTAGCCACGATGCCAAGTAGTTACGTGATTTAAGACTGTTTGGTTAAAACTAGTC